GCTGTCCTGTTATTTTCTCTTGACATAAATTCAAGCAACATTATGCTAAGTTGAGAAATAACCAAACACTATTTTTCACTTAACAGGTGTTGATCTGAATAAAATTAAAGATTGTATAGGAGATCCCCTTGCAGATGCTGAAAACCCTATTCTCAAAGCTGAACAGGATGCACAGGTTGGTTTTATAAGCTGTAAACTATTTTTCCTTTTTTTTCTTTTGCTGCACTTGTTTTCGAACTGGGTCATACAGTTTATTTTGTTGGTATCATGTCACATTCTGTTCCACTTTTTGGCTTCAGATTGGGAGGGGTCCTCGTGGTGATGTTACTATACTGCCTACTCTTGTTATAAACAACAGACAGTATAGAGGTTTGAGGAAGCTCTTCTAGATATCTTGATGGCTATATAGTTATATTCTACTTTATAACATTTGTTTTCTACTGATTTTAGGTAAGTTGGAAAAGGCAGCAGTTCTCAAGGCAATCTGTGCAGGTTTCCAAGAGACCACTGAGCCATCAATATGTTTAACTCCAGGTCCTTATTCCATTTCTTTCTCGTTCTCTTTACTCTAAGGAAATCATTAGTCTCACAGGCATCCCTAGGCTCACGTGGTAATGGATTATGTGTATTGGCTATTTGGTACTTCCTGATGCTTCCTCATGTTATTTTAGCATGAAGGATTTTCTTCTTTAAAGCCAGCAAATCAGAAGGGAAAATTTCTGACATCCATCTCTTTAAAAAAAAAATGCATTTTATTTTTGTGGAGGCAAATATTTTGTTCGTAAAATTATCCCATTGAAATCGAACCTTGTTAAAAGCTTATGATTTTACTGATTTTTCTTTGAAGATATGGAAACAAACGAGTGTTTGGAAAACAATGGTGGTTGCTGGCAGGACCCATCTACCAACATTACTGCGTGCAGGGTATTTATTTAAGTGTTCATCACATTTTTGAGAAAAGATTTATCATCATTACTTCGTTTATTTCTCATGGGATCTGGTTCTTCTTGCTTTTTTTTACTACAGGATACATTCAGAGGACGAGTGTGTGAATGCCCTATTGTTCAAAATGTGAAGTTTGTAGGTGACGGATATACCCACTGTGAAGGTAAATAATTTTGACTCGTACGGAGTATAAAACAGTCAGACACGTTTGTACTGTCTTTTTCCCTGCAACCAAGTGCTGATTCATTTTCTTTTCAGGTGAAAGCTACAAGTGGTTGTTCTGACTTTTATGTCTTTCATTTTTAAAGACTGCATTTGTCACTTAATTCTTGTGAGTAATAGCTTGTTGAATCTAGCAGCTTCAGGAGCATTGCGATGTGAAATCAACAATGGAGGTTGTTGGAAGGGAACACAAAGTGTCAGGACTTACTCAGCTTGTATTGTGAGTATTTCTCTATGCACCAATCTGTACAGCTTATGCTAGCTTTTGTTCTTTCTTGCTTTCATTTTTCTCTTTTTGGTTTGGGACAAGGGCTGGAGAGTGAGGATGATAGAAAATAATTAGATGAAATTCATGATCAAAGATAAAAAGACTGAGACAAGTATGAATGTATTCAGGAAAAACATAACTTAAGTCCCTGTATTTTATTCAAGTTTTGTTATAAGTCTCTGCACTTTTTTGAATATTCTAGATCTTTATATTTTTGTTTTTTGGTGTTCTAGATCCCTCCATAAACTGTTATAAGGACCTAAAACACCGGAAAATAGTGCGGGAACCTATAGCAAAACTTGAATAAGATGCAAAGATCCAAAATTTTGTTTTCCATATTTATAAACAATGCTTAGATATGAGCATATCAGATATGCTTTTCAAGAGAATCCATTTACACTTTAATTTACACGTTCACATTCATATAATTCGATCGAGTCTAGTTGAGAACTTCTCTGCATGATACGTTGGTTCCCTGTTTAACTGACGGAGCAGGATGACCGTACAAAAGGTTGCAAATGTCCACCTGGGTTCAGGGGTGATGGAGTCCGGTCCTGTGAAGGTAATGGCATAAAGTTACAAGTTGAGCTGCACTATTCACAGCTTGTTAATAGCGCAGCTCCTTTTAACTTTTATGAATTATAGATCATAGATATTGAGCTTTGTCTATTGCATAGAGTATTAATAATGATATTTTTGTGGGACTCGTGTTGCAATGTTACAGATATAGATGAGTGTGAAGAGAAGATGGCTTGCCAGTGCCCAGAGTGCAAATGCAAGAATACCTGGGGAAGTTACGACTGTAGCTGCAGTGATGAGTTGTTCTACATACGAGAAAATGATATGTGTATTGGTGAGCCCTGAGATTTTTATGTTTCTATCAGCGTGCATGATAATTGCTGAAGTTTCTGTACAAATCATTGCCATTTTCTTAATGTGATGTAAATTCAGGCAAGTATGCTAGTTCAGGAGGCAATGGGGGATTTATTTGGCTGATTATGTTCATATTGGTTGCTGCTGTTGCTGGGGGATATGCATTTTACAAGTACAGAATACAGGTATTGTTCTTCTTGGGATAATGAGACTTTCAATCTTTTAAATTTGTTTCAATTCTCGACTTGGTTTTTCGAGTTTATTTTTTTTTATCAATTTAGTTCCTTGCATTTTCTTAATATATTATGTTAATCCTTTAAGTTTTAAAACACAAATTAACTCTTAAATTAATCTAATATATAAAGTGTGTTAATGACTTGGCACATATATGTAGCTAAATAAGAATAAATTAGCTAGAAAATCGATATTTTTTTTTCTTAATATAGTCTCTTACTCTATGCTTTGTTCTTTTTTATAAAAAATTTTTAATATACTTTTTTTGTACATAAATAATTATACTTTTTTCAGTAATCTATATGGTTGTAATTGATATTTCATTATCTATGTCAGCAAATTTTAACAATATTGCCTTCTCTTCAAATAATAAGTATCAAATCGATAATCAAAATAAACTTAAGAGACCAATTGATAAAAATTAAACTTAATAGACAAAATCAATAAAAGAGGCAAACTTAAAAGAACTAAAAATTTCATTACCCATCTTCTTCAATTTGATGGAACAACTTCACGAGGTAGATGCTAATATGTGGATCCCACAGTGAATGGTTAGCAGATTTTACTTGAATTCATTTTGAGCATTGACATCCTAAAATTGTTTTGTTTTGTTTTTTTTTTTAATGAAATATTTGCAGAGATATATGGATTCAGAAATAAGGGCAATTATGGCACAATACATGCCCTTGGATAATCAACCAGAAGTCCATAATCAAGCTCATAATGCAATCTAAGATTTTAGTGGACATCTTTTTGCTACGAGACCAACATATCCCCTGAAATCCTCTGCAGTTGTTTATTTAGTTAGTAGGGGGAGGGAGAGAGAGAGATCAAGATGATTTCTTGTCACGCATATAAATGAGGCAATTTGGTATCATGCTTCCCTTTTCCTTGACAATTTATATCAATTTAGGTGTTTGTAATATGATCTTCTAATAATGCATTAAGTTATCTTTTATATATAGCATTGATCGTCCTAACTGTGAAATTTACGATTATGTTACTTTTTTTTTCATTAACTACATACTTATATTTCCTAGAACAAGATAAGTCATATGAAAAAAATATAATTATTGAATAAATAAAAATACTCGAGTTTCATTATTAAATATTTAATTTTATTAGAGCAAGACCCGTCATAACTTGATTTCAACTAAACAAAAAATCTTTAAATTAGTATCATGGAAAGATTGACTTGAGGTTGTATCACATGGGAAATGTATACTTAACATGGAAGTCAAGGTTTAAAAAATGGTTTTTACTTTTATCATTGTGCAATTTAGTGAGCTATTATCAAGGCATACAAAAATAGAGGAAAAATTATAGTATAGATCTTGTGTAGTAGACTTATTAATAAGTAAATCTCACAAAATTAAAAAATCACAGCCATTCTTAAAACTTGAGTGTAATTTAAAATTAAACTACAAAAAGCAATAATACTTTTATTAAACATACATTACATCAATCAAATAATTAATTTATAACAATTTCATCATCAATTTACAATTACAATTTTAACCTTTTATAACTATAAATTTACATATCTAATAGTTAAAAATCATGTTACTAACAATGTTTAATATTAATTGTTTGCAATTACTTCATTAATAATTTACAATTATAAATTTAATTTTTTACAACTATAAATTTACATATTTAATAATTAAATTAATTGATTTAATTATTAAATATATTGTAAATTACTGATGAAATAATTATAAACTATTTAACTGATATAATATATACATATTTAGTAAAGACATTATTATCTTTTTATCCTAACTTCAAACTCAAATCCCAAGAGATTTACTTGTAATTTTTGAATTTCACAATCTTTATTTATAAATAAATCTATTTCACAAAACTTATATATAATTTTCCCAAAAAGAAAACCTTGTCACTGCGCGCAACTCCAAAGATATTTACAATAAAATTATCTTAATAGACTCAAATCAGTATGAATTGATATTTACAATAAAATTATCTTAATAGATAAGAGTTGAATACAAAAGCAGACTGCTGGTAAAAACATAAAAACAAAAGCATACTCCAAGGATTCTTTTTTAAAAAAATAATAATAAATACCACCACAGAACTAATCACGCCACTAAATTTGAGCGAAATTAAAAAAAACCCAAAAAATTGATGCCAAATATAATTCATGAGCACAATATATGGGGAAAAAATTAAGTTAATCTCAAATAAAAGCGTTAATTGTAATCTCAATTCTAGACTAACTGATGGTAACACATGCTAGTTGTACTGGAAAACATCCCTTCTTTGGAGGGGGAAAAATCCTTAACATTGAGAGCTAAAGAAGTTATATTTCATACTAGTTCCACAGAAAGGGAATTATATGACATTTTAATTTTAATGTTTTATATGTCACGAAATAAAATTTAGTCCAACAGGCTAAAATGCATTTTTCCAACTTAAAATTATTTTAAATAAAAAAATATTGAAGACAGAGAACCAAAAATTGCCCCCTACAACTTGAGATTAATTATCAGATTCGATCAAGATTCTTCAAGTCTTATATTTCATACAGGAATTCATTCTGGAACAACCGCAGTAACAAATTAAACTATAAATAAACATAAAAATCTGCTCTTCCATCCCTTCCCGGTTTTTTTTTTTTTTACGAAAAAAGAAATTTACCCTGACATTTTTATTTTTCAAGCAGATCTTCTGCCACTGAGTGGCAAATGAAAAATTAAAGCAACACCAACACCAACACCATAAAAGACATCTGCAGACATCTGACCGGCATTTTGTGTAAGAAACATATCTTTGTATAGCGAATTACAATGAACATCAAAATGTCAACCTTACGTGATTAAACTAATTTCCCGGTCCAGTTTCCAGATTTGAGTCCCCAAGTGGTTTGCGTTCCAGTACCAATCTGTAGACATAAAATGCCGCCACTGCACCGCTGCATAGGACAAAAAGGTTGTTACCATACAAAATCTTAGTCACTCAGAAAGATGCAATATAGCTCCAAGAACATGGATAATAAATTTATAGGAATGCTTGAGAAGAGTAGTTCAGCTAAAGGTGAATCCACTAATGTGACCCATGTCTTCTGCTTTACTGTGTCAAGATTGAGAAAATGATGGAGGTTTCAACCCATTTACTTGGGAAACTTAACATAGGTTTGGCATGATAAACACATTACACTTGCCAAATATATATTTGACACAGAATACGTGTATCATACCTTAACATTTCACACCGCTAGTACTTTTTTGTATGGTATGCTTGAAAATATTTCATTGAGGTTATTGAAAAATGAAGATACACACACATACCCCTCCATAGAGTCTAAAATTTTAAAAATTGTTTCTCTCTCGTATCATATTAGTTGCATTACAGCATCGGTGCTTCCTAGATTGAGAGTAAGGCTCGATGAATCTGATGTGGAAGACAGTAAAAATATGGAGAGCAGAGCCCACAAAGATTTTTCTAACAAATGGTGGGCTTACCAAATTTGGCAGCTCCATACAGTGGGTGAGATAGGAATAACGAGTACGGGGAAAATTTTCAATAAATTATGACAAGAAAAAACTAAACATGGAAAATCAAATACTCGTATATCATCTAAACAGGATAGTCATATATCATCCATATCAGGTAATTGAGACCCTGCTTTTGAGCCTGGTTTATTGATCGGCACAAATGATCAAAGCTACTGAAGAAAAAAGGAAACGGATCCTCTCAATACTTTCCTTTCTCTCCTACACAAATCTCCATGGTCAAACGGCTGTGCATTTATCACCATTCTGCTCTTAAAAACAAGATAAATAGATAATATTGCTTCTTTATAGCTGTGACTAAATGAATATATATTTGGTTATTGCCACAGATCAGTAATCTTCTACTGTTAAATCAAATGGATAATTAAATAAATGGAGGAGTTTTGTGTATGGAAAAAGATATGCAAAGAAATTACAGAGAGGGTCCATTTCCTTGAAAAGGCTGGCCAATTAATCTGTGTTAGCCCCAGTTATAACTCTATAACGTTAGTGGCTGTAAAAGACATGTCTTCTGACTGCTAGTACTTCTGAAGCACCTTCAATAGATGGAATATACGTGTGTGTGGGTGGGTGGTGGAAACTTGGAGCTTTCAACTCGTGATGCGCGAATCAAATCATTGACATTAGTAAAATCTGCTTTCAATCAAAAACTGTTATGTTCCTCTTAAATTTGAAACAGTGGTTATCTAAGACTATAAGAAATTATCCACATTGCAATTTGCAAGGTAGGAAACATTCTTCAATCAATGACCTAAGAAACCCTTTCATACAGAGAGGCATGCCTATTCAAACCTATGCACATGTAAGAAACCACTACGAAAGTAGGAGAAAGGTAAAACAGTTCTCAAACAATGGTCACATATATTACAAATATTATAACAAGAAGATTTCAAGAACCTGATCAAAGTAGTGAACCGAGTTATGGGAGGCGACCCCTGAGAAAAGGAAAGAAGGAATAGAAACCATCAGTATTTAAAAATTGTTTTCATGGTATGTGAGCCACCTTAAAGGTTATCTTTTTCTTCTATTCATGCTTTATTATATTTAAATCAATTTTAAATACAAATGTATTACCTTGCCTAGTAAGATTATCTCTCGCAGGAATAATATGCTTGCTATTGCTGCAAGTCCAACAATTAATTTAGAGTGAGCTTAAAAATCTAGAAGAAACCAATAAAACATGATAGAAGAAAATACAAATCAAGTAGATGTTAGGCTAAAATTTAGAACACAAAGTAACACCATCAGGTTATTACACCATGAGCTTTGATGCCAAAACAAATACGAGTCTATTTCTCCTTAAGGCTAGTAAAGTAGAAAGTATTTTACTAAGATTTTTCAAGAAAACATTTGCAATATTAAGTGTACAAAAAAGAAAAAAAGAAAAAGAAAAAGCAGATTGAAGGCATTTATAGCATTGATAATCAATGAAAACCAGATTCAATTAAGTGACCATTCATGAGATAAATGCAAGTCAATCTTATTAAATGGGGTCAACTATGGATTACAAGATGCCATTGTGCTCTATCATTTACAAAGTTTTTAAGAATGTCTTTAATTAAGAGATATCAATCAACAACTTCCATAAGTGTTTCCTTTGGCCTTCCTCTACCCCTCTTAACAAAGTTCAAAATTATTTATTTCACTCTCCTCACTAGGGCCTCCTATAGTCTTCTTTGTACATGTCCAAACCATCTTAAATGATTTTCTACTATTTTTTCCTCAATAAATGCTACGAACACTTTTTCTCATATACGCTCATTTCAAATTTTATTTTACGTATATACCCACACATCCATTTCAACATTCTCATCTTTGCTACTCTAAACTCTAACTATTTCATTAAAGCTCATCATTCATTACCATATAATATAGCTGGCCTTATAGTAGTTCGATAATACTTCCCTTTAAACTTATGAGGTATCTTTCAATTGCAAATAACTCATTTAGCCTTTCTCCAATTAAACCACCCAACTTCTTACATGCAACATCCCCATCGATTTCTCCATCATGTTGAATAATAACTCCAAAATATCTAAACTTTTTCACTTAAAGTATAATTCGATCTCTCAATTTCACTTTCAAATTACTATTGACAAACCTCTTATTAAAATTACAATGCAAATATTATGTCTTTTTCCTTCTCAAGCAGAAACCTTTTGACTCCAATGTCCTCCTCTATAATTCTAGTTTACAGTTAATCTCATCCATATAAAGCATGCATTTATAGTGGTCAAGTATATGAGAGCCAAAAAATATTTTGACCACATACGTCAGGATAAAAATGAAAAATAAAGCAAAGATGGCTCAAGCTAAGCCAATAGCACCTTGCCACCCTGATTGAGAGAACATCACAATCCTTGTCTCTAACTTAAAGCACTCCTCCACCATTTTTGTTTGGCACATATATTAAACTATAAGAGTTGAAACAACGCGTGTATATCAGATAGCTTGGCTTCAAAAAATTTATTTCACCCAACCAAAATTTAACAAAATTGAATGATCTTTTAAGAAAAAAGAATATCAAATTCCCCAAGTTCAATTGATTGTTTTCACAGTCAATTTTAAGCCCAAAATCAAACAATTAGATGTTACGTGACAAAATGAAATTCATTTTGTTATCTTTTAAAGAATTAAATTTTCACAATCAGCTCTCTGTGACTTTGAATCCTATTATGACTGTTGCTTGCTACAAGATTTATCTTCCTTCTTAGCTCTTGCTGCCACGTTAGTCAAAACTATAGAGATAGCTATCACAGAAAAAGTCAAGGAAAAGTAAGATAATACTTGAAATCACTTGAGTCGATGAAGAAAATACGATCAAATTAGAAGGAACTTCAAACCTGTCATAGCATATGGATGAGGAATGGATACAGAATCTTCAGCAAAATATTATGACACTAATAGTAACATCTTCTGGCAATAGCCAATTGAACTATCATTTAAAACATCAGCAATTCTTTTTAAATTGCACAAGCATAAGCTTTTTTGTACTCACAGCTCCCAATTAAATTTAATAAGCTTATTAGTTTAGCTGCTGCACCTCTTTTGTAAAATTCAGTACCAACTAATGCTTTGGCTTGTTACAATCAGTTTATGTAGTTAGTCTAATGATTATATTGAATTGATACAGACCAAATGTGGCATCAATTGATACATAAAATGATAGCATTGTATGATTGCTACAAAAATTGAGGATGGTTAAATTTGAATTTTGATTGCTCGTGTTTCATTATCTTTTTTGCTTTTTCATGATTCAAATTATTTTTTTCAGTCATATGATCTTACCTGCTTGGCCATTCAAAGCTCGGGGAGATGATTCTCCTCTCCTGTATGCTCTTAGACTTGAAATGCTTAAGAACAAGAGAAGACCACCTAAAAACATCCCAAATCTAACAGCTGCAAGGCTTCCTGTTACCATAAAGGAAAGGAAACCTCCAATAGAGAGTATCAAACCTGCAAAACAATAAAAATAATAAGATAAAAAAAGAAGAAATAGCATAGACCTATTAATCTTCAGCATTTGGCTAGCATAGAGGGTAATAAAAATTCCCCCTGAACACAGTAGAAGTCATACTATTACACTTAGGATATGTTTATTAAACCATTTCATGGAATGCCATCTGTATCAGCGATTGGATTAGCTTCAAGTGCTTCTACTCTGAGTTTTTTGAGTTTTCTCACTTTCTGTAAGTAAAAGGACTTTTCTACAATAAGTGTAAAATTCAGGGGAGAGGGGGGGAACGACTTGTTCAATCCCACCGTACAATACTTACCATAAGGTATACCAACATAGAAGTCTCGCACTCCAGAAAGATGACTGAGATCATCAGTTGGGGAGGCAAATGTTTCAACAATCTCCTTCACTTCAGGAGATTTTTCAGCTGCTGTGACGATATACTCTTTGCCTTCTTCACTAATTTCTTTTGCAGCCACGGTCAAATCATGCCTTGCCTTATCTGCTTGTACCTTCAACTGTTTCTGTAGCATCTTTCAAAATGACAATTGCCTTCTTTGAATACTCTTCATATGCTTCTTGAGAAACACCTTGAAACTTTTTGGCTTGTTCTCTAAAGGTATCTAGAGCTTGCTTCCACACTTCTTGTGATTCTTCAGATCCCACTCCAAGCTCATCTTTTCCACTACCCACTTCAATTTCTTGCTGTTTCATAGTTTGAAGTGCATCAGATAGATATCATCTTACAGTTCCAATCCAGATTAGCAAGAGGAAATGAAGAATATTTGCATAAGAGAAAACCAAGAGCAGGTCCGATGGGGGAAAAGATGAAACAAAAGAAAATGGCAGTTGAGGACCCATAATTTTGCACTCCCTCCATTATCAAACATAAGCAACAAATTAGGAGAATTCTTTGTTATCAAATATAAGGAATATTGCAAACTTTTCCAAGGATATTTAATGGAATCTTTACAAAAATGCTTCTCATAAATAACCACTGGACTCTCGTTTTTCTAGCAAAGAGTAATAACCATTAGCCAAACTACATACCTTCGTTGGGGTGAAATAGGAAAAACAAAATACTTTTTTAGGCACTAAACTGTGTCTTGATATGTTTGCCTAGCTTCACTTGTAGTTTATATTTGATAACAGAGGGAGTATTAATAATAATAGCTAAAGGCCAAAAAAAAAATCAAAATTCCCATTAATACCATATTAGTGATTCCAAAAGCCATAACTCACATTTCCTAAAGTTACAACCTAATCGTTTCGATACTGCAAGGGTATTTTAAATTTGTTCCACAGAAACAACCTTGTAATTCTGGATGAAAACACCTTTTTTACTTTGGATAATAACACTTAACGTCTGGAAAATAAATCACAACTTCAAGAAGAACAAAGGACAACTTATTTCGATAAGTCTGCAGTCCTTGAGCGCAATCTTGATTAGTAAGATACTGAGTCACCATTTTCTATATGATTAACATTATTTCCCCTTTTGCTGGGGGAGGGGTAACCTGTAAAGAAACCACATAACCCAGCATATGCATCCAGAAAATATAAACGAACAACTATATAGCAATTGAAAGATAATTCAGAAGAATATAGACTGCAAATATCAATCATAGACCTTCCTCAAGGGTAAAAGCACTGGTTTTCACCATTACAACATCGTAACAAACATTGCAAAATGTCGTTCAAGCATTTCCAAAAACTCGAGCTCAATAAGAGAAGCATAAGACTCTTCATTTTTTGGTATTTTATAATCTTACCGAGTCATCAGGCGCAGCTGCAAAAGCGAGAATTAACGGAGTTGATGAGGTACGGCGATTGAGTGTGAGAAAACCATTGGAGACAACCGAGCGCGTGGAATTAGGAGTTTTGAGCAAAGGATGGAACTTGAGAGAATCCGGAGCCTTGCTCAACGGCATTGAGGCATGGGAGAGTTTAGGGTTTATGAGAGAAACGGATTTCAGAGTGGAAATCATGTCTAGGTGAGCTCCAAACAAACGAGACGAGGGGGAAGGGGGAGAGAGAGTTTGAAAGGAGGCGAAGCTGACGAGGGCGTTGAAATAGGAAAGAGGAGGGATTTTGTGAAGAATACAAAAGAAAGAAAGAATAAAAATGGAAGGAGAACAAGTAACAGGCCTTTGAATTGAAGAGGACGTCGTCGTCCAATTTCCCCTGCACAGGATTTGCCGTTCGTAATTTGGAGTGAAGGCCGAGACTTGTGAACATGACACATCGCATCATCAAAGTACTCTCTCTCTCTCTCTCTCTCTCTCTCTCTCGTACTATTTTTTTGTCAAGATTATGATTTTCCAGTATTGAAAAAATTAATATCCTATACAAGCAGTTTAAATATAAAAAATTATATAAAACAATAAAATTATCTCTAAACTCTATGTCATATATATTAAAGTTGCAGTGCATTTATTATACTAAAATTATTTATTATTATGCATAACTAAAAAGTAAGAATACTCCCTTCATTCTTTATTAAAAGGCATTTTTTAGTCTTTAATATAAAACATGCTATAAAAAAATAATAAAGACTAACACTACAGACAATTAAAATTTTAAGACTTGGAACAACAAAATAAAGTATAAGAGCTCAAATCAAAACATGTTAAAAATATGGAGATTAACAGTGATATTGTCCCTATTCTTTGTTATTAATTTTTTGCCACTTAGTATGTCCTAGTTTGAATGCATATCTTGCTATGTAAGTCTCATTTGGATTGCCTAGATATCGTTATTTATTTTTATATTTTGTGTTAAAATGTTAGTAGTATTTATTTTATAGGTTGATAGTTCAGCAACATCAATCTTATGTATTGTGTCTTTTTTTTTTTTTTAACACCAGAGACTGTAAGCAATATGACCAAGGTTACTCCCATTTCTTAAATTGCCTTGTGCCCTTTGTGATTTAAGAAAGCTGATGTAGGAATTGCAAGCATGATAAGTGTAGGGAGAGAAGGAGGGAGGGTGAAGATGAATGAAGAAGTGAATATGATCAAAATTCAGTAGAAGAAACTTTATTTCTTTTAAATGAAATTGAGAGTTTGAATCTTGTAAATAAAAAGATTATATTAGAGCTCTATGTCTAATTAGTCTTCATGACTCATTGAAAAAACATAATTATATTGCACAAGAATTATAACCACAAATGTGGCTATAACAATCTAAAAGAGCAAGTCCTGTACCAGGAAAAAAAAAATAGGTCAAGTAGAAGAAATTGATTTCCTCTAGATAAAGTTGAGAGTTCAAATTTTGTAAATTGTAAAAATTATATTAGAGAGCCATGTCTAATTAAATTAGACCATTCTTAAATTAACTTTGATAGTACTAAATCCCAAATAATTATATATATATATATATATATAATTTCAGTGGCTATGATATATATTGGATTAATATATTTCATTAGGCAAATGTAGGCCCTGATTCCAACAAATGGAAGATTGGAAAGCATAATATAATTAAAGAAAAGAGGCAAGTAAGGCATAGATTCTATCAACAACATCATATACACCCAGAGCAAGCAAGGAATCTCTACCCGCTATTCCTCAAAACCAAGCACAAGAAACCGAATTAAAATTTCACCACATCATATCAATTATCTACATAACACACGAAGTGCATGTTTGGGAAAAAAATGAAGTTCAAAAACTTAAATCAACCTGAAAAAAAAATTCTAAAAAATTAATGCCACCCTCTTGGTTTTATAAATTTCATAATTTTTTTTTTTAGCTTTTACTCTGACATTCTATGTCTTTGACATAGATTTTATTTGTAGGTATTTTTTTTTTAGGAACATATCTCCTCCTGAAAATATAATTGCTGCTGCATATTTAGGGCTCAACCCCAAAACCTCTTATTAAATTAAATCAATCTTTTTAACTAGTTGACTCAAGCGCTCGATTGTAATTTTACAATTGATAAGAATGCAATGTGAAAAAAATACATTGGCGTGCTCTTGCTTGGATTGTTTGTATGATTTTTTCTGTTCATTTTTTTTTAATAAAAGACCACGAAAAAATCCATATAAAATGATGACAAATCAAGTTATGTCAAAGTATAAAAAAATTTCTACACCCATTCGATGGAAAATCAAAGATCCTAATGTCTAAATTATCATATGAAGATTATTGTACATGTCATCAGTGCATTTATTTGTTTCTTTGAAGACGTGATCAAACACAATTATCCAATTTTTCATGATGAATTCCTTGATTTTCTTGATAATGTTAATGAGAGGATGGTTATTTGAGCATTTATGTTGGATGAGCATTAGAGTTTCAAGAGAGTTAGAATAAGCGTTAACTTTATCAAACTTGCTATTCGAATAGATTTTGATTCCTTCAAGAATACTCATTAGTTCTATAACGGTAATGGGGTGGTAGCCAAATTATTTTAAAAACCGCTTAATTCAATTACCTTAATTATTTCGGATGAGGCCACCACAAACAGTAGCATCATAATTGTTAATTGAGCTGTTGACATCGAGTCTTACTCAGTTTGTTTCAGGGGTGCACCATCTAGCTTTAACTCTTTTGCCTTGCAACCAAAAAAAAAAGAGAGAACGGGGGTCTACTGTTTGTATGAGCTTGTCAAGGCTTTTATTAAAAAAAGTGGGGGTGAGTGGCAATAGTAAACGCGATCTGATCAATGGCCCTTGGGAGCAAGATTGCCAGATAAATGGAAATGGGCCCCAAGTTATGGTCTACCATTGTTTTTTGTGAAATCAATTATTGGGCTGGGCCACCAGAAACTCTAAAAACAAGATACAAGTTTCGGGCCTAGATTTTTAGCCCAACTTAATATCTATTATCAAATAAACCAAGACCCAAATTTTTGGGCCTTTAGGTGTTTTTTTTAACGCTTTTGATTTGCTTTTCGGCTGCAGCGCCAATTCCGCCACTGACACGCAGTAAATGGCCATGTCCAATAAACAAGTAACACTTTACAGATACACTCATGAAATTTTGCAGCACAATACCTACAAGTGTACACCCGCATTTACATTTTCGTAGTCAATAGTACTAGCTTAGCTGTTTATCATGTATCAAAAGTGGAATTTCGTGTACAGTGCATCATGGTTTGGCATATTAAAAAAAATTCTAAATTTTAAAATTTAATTATAAAATATATGGATAACAAATTTCAATTGAAAGTTTCGAGTTTTAATAATTTTTTCTACTCCGTTCAGTTATAATTATAGAACAAAGTTTACAATCTTATTTGACACTAAGTATAGGGCAAAGATGCAATTAATTAATTTTTTTATAATTTTACCCTTCATTAATTGCAACAAGTTGTAATTCTCATGTACTCCCTCAATATCAAATTATAAGATATTTTTAAATAAAATTTATATATTAATAAATATCATTAAATACACTTAACCGCTTTATTTTTTTAAAAAATATAAATTTTTAAAATACCTTTCATTTAATACTTCATTAATGATAAAATATTAAAGAGAAAGAATATATGAAAAGGGTAGTATTAAAAAAGTATCATTAATAAAATTTTATTTTTATCAAAATGTCTTATATTTTAAAAAGTTGAATATTTTCTAAAAGTATTTTATAATTTGGGATGAATGGAGTACATCTTATCGTGATCATTAATTGTTTTTAATTAAGGATAAAAGTAAAAAGTTAAATATTTTTACAAGTTTAATAATATTAACTATAATTCTTTTTTTTAACAACAGTATTAACTATCATTATTTAATAACCATGAAATTAATTAATTTTACAATATAGTTATGACCAATGGAATCCTCCATCTGGTTCTATATATAGTAAGTGGCTTCTAATTACCTTACAAAAATCAATAAAAGATGATTAAATTATTGATATTGTTTGAAAAAAATAATTTTTTAATTTATTTTTATTAAATACATCATCTTTAAAATAATAAAAATTGTCATTTTTTTCTACTATATGTAACTTTTTTTTATTTCAACGATAAAAAAAGAAAAATTATATTAAAATCTTACACAAAAAAATTAATTATTGCAAGGTCCATTGATAATTAAACTAAACTACATTAATACCAATTGTTAATGTAGTTTAGTTCAATTGTTAATGAATCTTATAGTAGTTAATTTTCTTGCGTGGAATTTAATTATAATTCTCCCTAAAAAATGCAAAGGATTAAAACTAAAATAAAGTAATTAATTATCTAACTTTTTATATAAAGTGATTAATAAAAAACCATTAATTTTTTTTCAAAAATACTTTCTTTATTAAAATATGTAAGGTATTTTTAATTAAATTTTATTCTCAAGAAAGTAATTACTAGTCTTTAAATTAACTTTATCTTTTCCTATATACCCTTATTTAATAGAGCATTTAACCCTAAAAAAATATAAAGTGGTATATTTAATATGAACACTTTTAAAAAAAAGGGGTAATAATTATATCTTAAAAGATTAAAAATATCTTATATTTTTTAATATCTAACTCTTTAAAAATGTTTTATATTTTTGAATGGAGAGAACATAATTTATACATAAAACTGAGGGAGATTATATATTTTAAACATGAAGAACATGAATTAAGATAATTTGAAAGTTTAAATGTTTGCATTAATTTTTTAAAAAACATGAAAAGTCACCAATACCAGTATAAGAGGCACGTGAATTTAACTTGATGATGTTAATGTAATAATTAAGAAGGATGGAGGAGGAGGAGGAATGATAGGTATTCAATGTTGATCAGGGAGACAGCATATTTGCTTGCCTTTGAAGGCAATAAGAGTCAAAATCAAGAACCATGCCCAGCATGTGGCCTTGGGACTTATGATGCTTCAAGACAAAACAGAACAGAGTTTAGATTTTTCAAAGACTCTGACTACATATTTCTCCACCTTTGACCTTTTCCCTAAAACCTTAACATCTCTGGCTTGGGACCATTCAGATGTTGGAGATCGGTAGATGTACTGTTTATTATATGAGTGTCATTATAGTAATAATTCCCCAAGTCAAACTCCCCATAAACAAATTAATCAAGCAGGATTTTGTACGCTTCTGCCTCCACATTCTATCTTTTTGCTTGTTCTTCACTTTTTGTTGCTGTGAGGCACAGTCACGGTGTTACTGGTTTGCCAATGGTAAAGCCTAATTTTTATTAAAACAGTGAGAATAAAAAGTAACCCTCCCTCCCTCACTCGGTTAAAAATCAAATTCTCAACAAGAAGTCTCATCTCATTAAATGAAAATGGCTATATAATTGAATGATATTATTGCCCTCTATTAATAACCAAGCCTTTATGTATAAAGAACAAAAGCCTTTGTGCTTGTACCCGTCTAAGTTTGTTGGGTGTTTTTGACAATGTATGACATGTAAGCAGTACTATAAATTTATATAATTAACTTTAGAAGCAATGTAAATTCTATTGTTTGATGAAAAATACATCCACATTTTATAAGATTATCTGAAAGCTAAAAAGGTATTGCTTAAATTGGTCAAACAAACTAAGCTAAATACTTTCTTTGCTTACATTTTGCAAGGCTGGATTCAATATTGGAATGTGAAAAATGAAATTGGAAGCCCCAACACAAGGAAAATCGCTTGGCAAAGAGTACTATATGCACAAACTTGCTAATCAATGCATAGAACTCTTTATGCTAAAGATGAACTCCTTGGAGGAGACATTGCTTTCATAACTGCACAGAACATCATTAATGACCTCAAACTAGAAGCAAGGATGGCAATTTCAAACACCAAACATAGGAACATGCATTTCAAATGGTCACTTCCTCAACTTATTGGGTTCAACTAGATGTAGATTATTCGATAAACTTTAATAGAGTAGCTACATGTGGTGAACTAGCTCATGATAATCAAAAAAATAAAAAGTTTTACCAAATTTCTTGATTGTCAATCTAATACTGTGACAGAATTTTTTAAAAATCTTAAATGACTCAATATTTGTTGAGATGAAAATTATCCCTCTGTTAACATTTTCTGTGACTCAATGGAGGTTATCAACTTAGTCTAGAATGAGCACTGTCATAATCACTCTCTTTAATACTATCAAAAGGATTAGGGACCTCATTATGTGCAATTTGATTGTATTCTTCTACCACATTTTTAAAGAGGCAAATTGTTTTTGACTCCAAGAAAGGGAGGCAAAGTGTTATACCGACTAGCTTCCTTGCTAAGTCGAGTATAATAATTATAATAATTATAATACTAGGATCTTTAACGACATATCCAAAGGCCATATGAATCTTTTGTTATTTGATTAGACTTAATTTGTTGTTTCTCTGCAGGGTTTTAAACATGGCCTTATAATTAAAAAAAAAAAAACTTTAGGAAGTCAGATTGTATTCCTTGACTTTTAAATCGTGCCTTTTGAAGGGTTCGCATTTGCTATTGAAATTGCAACTGGAACTCAAAGTTGTATTTTTATAAAATACAGTGTCTGCATTTTTAGTTTTTGTTGAACTGATTGAGCAATTTTTAGGGGAAAAAATAATTGAGTATCCCCTAAGGCTTTGAATTAATAAAACTGACTGAGCAATTAATTAACTCTCAACTTTATATAATAGATTATAGATATATATTAGCCCAATTCTTAACTCTCATATACGGAAGATCCTCTAAGGCTTTGAATTAATTAAAGGCTAAGTATAACTTTTAGTTTATATATTTTATTCACATTTTACCTTTGCTCCTTATATATATTTTTTGTTGTTTTAGGTTTTACAATGTCTTTTTTTATTATTTTTGCTCCTTATATATATTTTTTGTTGTTTTAGGTTTTACAATGTCTTTTTTTATTATTTTGATTTTTTATGAGCAAAGTATAAAAATTTTAAAAGAATTTAAAATAATAAAAAATAAAAGTATAAAAACTTAAAATACAAACAAAAACGAGAATAAAGTGTTGAGATTAAAATTACGTTTTTTCTTAATTAAATAATACTCTCTCTACTTCTTTAAAGATTTTTGCACATAAATTAAGATCAAGAAATGTGGCTGGGAGAGCCTAGAGTGCAATTCATTCACTTGGGTGATTCTGAAGTTGGGAGGGAGTGAAACGAAAAAGTGGCAACATGGATCATTCATTCATAGGATTCGGGTTTGACCCTATGACTATTCACATGCATCACACCCATGTCGTAAAAAAGAAGCCTCCCTCTCTGTGTCTGTCTCTGTCTCTCTCTTTCTCTTTATATTAATGCGTCGCTGCCATGAGAATTGAAGCTTTTATACATGCCTCTCTCTCTCTCCCCCTCCCTCCCCCTCCCTCCCCCCGCCTCTCTGTTATTTACTTATTTATGCTTTTCTCTGTCACTCTCTCCTTCCCAGCAACACTCACTCCTCACCTCGCTCTCTTCCATTAATGGCTTCTCCGCCCCCAATGTTCCTTCCATTCTCTTCCTCCTTCTCCCGCCTCTAATCCCCCCTCTCTTTTCTCTCTCTCTCTCTCTCTCTCTCTCTCTCTCCCCTTTTGTAATTTTTCTTTCAATTTTACGCCATTACTATTTCATCCCCTTCTTATCCGTCCTTCTTTCTACCACTCATTACTCCACAACCTCCTCATTCGTCCTACTTCACTGTTACTGTTCTACTTCTGTGTTTTCTTCTTCTTTCATCACGACTTCTTGAAACTGTAAACCGGGGAAAAGTAGAAAGTGAATTTTCTGTTCAAATTTCTTTACTTTGCTCCCCCCCTTCTTTTGTTCATATTCACTGAGATTGGTATTCTTTGTAACTTCTCCCACCTCTTGCTTGTCCTTTCCACCGCCTTCGTGCTTCCTGAAATCTTGTCTCTTTGTTATGTCAAGTTCATGTGCTATGCTTTCTTCTCAACCATTTCTGCCTTCTTGTGTCTGAATATCTCTCTCTCTCGCACTCTCTGAAAATGCAATTCGGCTATTTCCTGTTTCTTGTTTTTGCTCCAATCCTCGTTATCTCCGCCGACCCGGCGTTCAACGATGATGTATTGGGGTTGATTGTGTTCAAAGAGGGTCTAAAAGACCCAAAGGCGATGCTCTCTAGTTGGAATGAAGATGACGATAGTCCCTGCAACTGGGTCGGAGTCAAATGTGACCCGACGACCCGTAGGGTCTCTGCTTTAGTACTTGACGGGTTTTCTCTTTCAGGGCATATTGATCGAGGGCTTTTGAGATTGCAGTTTCTTCAAGTTCTTTCACTTTCCAGAAACAACTTCACAGGGACCATAATCCCTGATCTTCCTCGTCTCTGGAATTTGCAACTTGTTGATTTGAGCGAGAACAATCTCTCTGGATCAATCCCACAAGAATTTTTCCAACAATGTGGGTCTTTAAGAGCGGTTTCATTTGCCAGAAACAATCTTTCAGGTAAAATTCCTGATTCTTTAAGCTCTTGCTCTATGTTAGCTACTGTTAACTTCTCCCACAATCAACTTTCTGGAGAATTGCCCTCTGGGATTTGGTATTTGAGGGGATTACAGTCACTTGATCTGTCCAACAATTTGCTGGAGGGAGAGGTTCCTGAGGGAATTGAGAGCTTGAATGATTTAAGAGAGTTAAATCTACAGAAGAATCGATTTATTGGTAGGCTTCCGGAGGGTATTGGAGGTTGCTTGCTCTTGAAATCACTTGATTTTAGTGATAATTTTCTCTCTGGGAGACTTCCTGGCTCAATGCAGAAACTCAGTTCATGCACTCTCTCAGTTTACAGGGAAATTCATTCACTGGAGGCATTCCTGATTGGATTGGAGAGCTGAAAAATCTGGAGATATTGGACCTTTCTGCAAATGCTTTTTCAGATTGGATTCCCAAATCAATAGGAAATCTTGATTCACTGAATAAATTAAATCTCTCGAGGAATCAACTTACAGGAATTTTGCCTGAGTCAATGGGCAACTGTGTTAAGCTTTTGGCTCTTGACATGAGCCACAATCAGTTATCAGGCCGCATTCCTTCATGGATTTTTAAGATGGGTTTAAAAAGTATTTCACTTACGTGGAACAACTTCACGAGCAATAGTTCTTCGCTTTCATCCACATCGACGTCTTATTATGGCCTCCAGGTTTTGGATTTGTCATCCAATGCATTTTCTGGTGGCCTTCCATCTATTATTGGGGGTCTTAGTAGCTTGCAAGTCTTGAATATGTCCACCAATCATATCTCTGGTGCTATTCCAGTGAGTATAGGAGAGCTTAAATCTTTGTTCATTCTTGACCTAAGTGGCAACAAGATTAATGGAAGCATTCCCTCTGAAATAGAAGGGTTGATTTCACTGAGTGAACTGAGACTGCAGAAGAATTTCCTGAGTGGGAGAATTCCGACCCAAATTGACAAGTGCTCATCCCTGACATCTTTGTAAGCTCTCTGCCATAACTTCTGTTATATGTTCTCCTTTCTTTGCTTAGATTATATAAAACTCTGAAATGTAATTGTAACATCATTTGAAGAGTCTAATTTCTGTTTGTTCATTTGAATTGAATGGTGCAGGAATCTTTCTCACAACATGCTCACTGGTTCAATTCCTCCCGCCATTGCGAACCTAGCTAATCTCCAGCACATAGACTTGTCATGGAATGAACTCTCTGGAAGCTTACCAAAGGAGCTGACAAATCTTTCCCACCTTTTCTCCTTTAATGTTTCCTACAACCACCTTCATGGCGAGCTACCAGTGGGTGGCTTCTTCAATACCATCTCTCCCTCATCTGTCTCTGCTAATCCATCGTTATGTGGTTCCATTGTTAATCACTCCTGCCCATCCGTCCATCCCAAACCAATTGTCCTCAACCCAAACTCTTCTGGCTCAAATTCTGGTCCTTCCGCTCAAAACCGTCATCATAAGAAGGTCATTCTCAGTATCTCTGCCCTTATTGCTATTGGAGCTGCTGCTTTTATCACCATTGGTGTGGTGGCTGTTACACTGCTAAATATACATGCACGTCACTCATTGTCACGTTCCGCTGCACCGTTTGCGCTATCTGGTGGTGAAGATTATAGTTGTTCGCCCCAAAATGATCCAAGCTATGGCAAACTTGTAATGTTTACTGGTGATGCTGAATTTTCTGATGGCGCTCATAATCTTCTTAATAAAGACAATGAGATTGGTCGTGGTGGGTTTGGAGTTGTCTATCATACTATTCTCCGAGATGGGCGTTCTGTTGCAATCAAGAAGCTTACAGTCTCTAGTCTGGTCAAGTCCCAAGAAGACTTTGAGAGGGAAGTGAAAACACTTGGGAAGATGAGGCACCATAATCTTGTGGCACTTGAAGGTTACTACTGGACTTCATCCTTGCAGCTCCTGATATATGAGTACCTGTCCAGAGGAAGCTTACATAAGCTTTTACATGATGAAAATGCGAAAGATATCCTATCATGGCGGCAAAGGTTCAAGATTATTCTTGGCATGGCAAAAGGGCTAGCCCATTTGCACCAAATGAACATAATTCACTACAATCTCAAATCAACAAATGTTCTGATTGACTGCTCTGGTGAGCCAAAAATAGGAGATTTTGGCTTGGTGAGGCTATTGCCAATGCTAGACCATTGTGTCTTGAGCAGCAAAATTCAAAGTGCACTCGGTTACATGGCGCCCGAGTTTGCTTGCCGCACAGTGAAGATAACCGAGAAATGTGATCTATACGGGTTTGGGATCCTGGTTCTGGAGGTAGTAACTGGAAAAAGACCTGTGGAATATATGGAGGATGATGTGGTTGTCCTCTGTGACATGGTAAGAGGCGCATTGGAGGAAGGGAAGGTGGAGCAATGTATTGATGCAAAGCTTCTGGGAAATTTTGCTGCAGAAGAAGCAATTCCTGTGATAAAATTAGGGTTAATCTGTGCATCACAAGTGCCATCAAACCGTCCAGACATGGCTGAAGTAATCAACATATTAGAGTTGATACAGTGCCCTTCAGAAGGACAAGAGGAAATCGAATGAATGTAAGCTGTAGAGTTTGAGAAAACAACACACATGGCAGAAGTACATGGCGAAGAACAATCCAGTTTGCTTGCTTCAAAGCTAAAGCTACATACCACAGGCAAAGAATCTTTAGCAGGATCATCTTCAAGACTTTACTTTCTTGTTTGAGATTATGTGTTTGTTTTTTTTGTCATATTTTTTTCTTCTTTTATTTATTTTGTTCTTCTAAACTTGTTCAGCTCACCGTAAATTACTGGATTTTTCTTCACCAGTTTTTCTAGTCCATACATACCATGGTCTCTTCATCTTACTAAACTGTACTTTCTGAATTGAGTTGCCTTTTTCCTCCTGTTGTATTTGGAAGCAAATGGCTCCTACCAAGTTCTATGATTTAAATTCTCGACATTTAAAAATATATATATATATATATATATATAATGCAAAGCATTTGGATTAGAATTAGTGAAGTTAGAGACTTTTAGAATGGTCTTACATTTGAAAAGGTAATGGCAAACTGATAAAATATTGGCTTCATTTCTTATTTCTTAATTTTTTTCCCCTTTTTCCTTTTTCCTTTTCTTACTTGTGAGTGTGAGGTTGGAATGACTGATGCATTCAAATTCAATTGCTTTTCAATGGCATGGGGAAAAAAGAAAGTGATGCTTTTACTTTTCCTTTCTATATGGAAGTAACTGAACTTGAGAAGAGATTTTGAATAAACCAAAAGAAATGGGAAACAAGGCAGGTGCAAGATCAAAATATCAAACTATTGGTCATGATTACAATATACAAATTATGCAGGAAAAAGGGTGGAGAGCAGGAAAAGGAAAAGTTAAAAAGCACTATCTTCCATTATTGATACTTTTAGCTTGAATTTATATTATTTAAGATTTTTGGGATCATTTTCACTGGAAGAAAATGAGAAAAGAAATTGTACAGAATTTTAGTTAAATTAAAACTAAAAAGTAAATTATACGATTTCTAAATTTTTCTAACTACTATATTTTTTTTTTGGAAGAAGGGCGTATTTTTTAAAATGAACTAAAACTAAAAATACTCCTGCATTGCTTTGGATATGGTGTAAAAAATTAGGGAGAATCATCTAAGGATTTGGCAAGAAATTTAGTTATATTTAAAAAGATGAGTACATGTTATCTTTTTAATAATATATTTTGTATTGATCTTTGTCTGCGAGTGGGTTTTTGGTCAGGTCCTTTGATGTATTTTCTCAAAAAACTATAATACGTTTAGTAATTAGATTAACTATATTATTTCATTCAAATTTAAATCACTCAATCACCCAAGGGCCCAAACAAGTGCAAATGCAAAAAGTAAGTTACGTCATTTGGAAACTACTATTCAGTATTCACAATATAAGCAGCGTTAGTTGACTCCGTACAGAATTCATGTATTAGTAGTGAATAGATGGTAAATTAATATACATTGGCCCAAAAAAAAAGATGGTAAATTAATATATTAGTAAATTAAATTTCTTTTTGATTACTTTAGTAAATTAAAATTTATTTCAAGGCAAGTTTTATTCGGTTTGAAATAAATTAAAGGAGGTGTTAATATAATTTTTATAAAAATTCAGATACACACACAAATATACGACATAAATTAAAGGAGGTGTTAATATATTTTTTTTTTAAAAAATTCAGATATGTATATGTATGTTTGTATAATTTATTAGATTGAGAATAGCATTACCTAGAATTGGGTCTAGTGAAAGCGACCAATTTTTCATACCATATTGCATAAAGATCCAAACGTCTATTAAGAGAGGTGTAATATTTAATAGGTATAAAAGTACTTTTTTAAAAAGAAAATAAGAAATGCACCTATCATATTTTCTTCTTAAGTACATGTTCAAATTCTTTTCATGAAAACACATTTTTATGTCCTAAACATTGTTTTAATATTTGATTGTATTTCAAACATGATTATTTTTAATAAAAAAATACTTGTAATCTGTAGACAATTTAAAAATAGACAAAGATAAATATAAATGATTTTTCAGAATAAGTGACTTGCTTCATTGATATAAATGATAAAGGGATGTCAATTCAATAATTAAAGCTTGGATGCGAAGTAAAATCGGTTTAAATAGATAAAATAAATAAATGGTTGCTTATGAAATAGGGGATCATGTTGGGACATCATAATGAGAATTGATCACAAGAAAGAGTCCCTAAAAGCATAAACAACTCAGAAACTTTATTTGTAAGTGGCAACATTATCCCAAGTTCCCACAAATGTGAACTGTACATCACAAATAAAACACTTAAATATTTTAATACAAAGAAATAACATCAGATACCATGTCTCCTCTTGTTTTTATTTCTTCACTCATTCACATTAATGATGATAATCCCATGTACTTGGATGATTATGTGTCCACCATGTGTTGTGTTATGTACAAGACACATTGAAACATGCACGCCATGTATTTTTTTTCTTTTCAAATGTCTAACTAACAGAAAAGTTGCAAGTGATGATGATTATTAAAAAGCAAAAAATGAATGGAATGAATTGAAATATTGGAGTTTGAAGCAGAAGGCAATCAAATGCATTAGCAATAAGATAATAAGGTGCAATGATTCGCCCTGCAATCCCACCTCTCGCGATACTTTGTGGCGACAGAATCATGCTTAACCCATTGATTCAATAACCACATGCATACTGGACAATATGATGGGGCATTGCAACTTTTTATGAATTGCTTATTATTATTCATTTTTATTTGTGACTGTACATATTTTAGAGTTTTAACTTTCTATTCGTCACTTTGGATAATGTATGCTATATTTTTACATATTTATTAGGCTGCAATGACTTTAAACGACAACTATAACGAGACAGAGACAGAGAGAGTAAAATTTAGGATTGAATAATGTTGCCTTAAGATGATAAGCCTAGAAGCGTTGAGAGCCTAAATTGATTTTTAATATAATGTTCTCTTTTAAAGTGCAATGTCAATCCTATAATTAATAAATATTAACTTTAACATATATTCTTTCTTCCTTTATATATAAAAAGTTTTTTAAAATTTTTTTATTTCTAAATATAAGACATTATGAGCATATTTTTTAATAATTGGACTATTATACCTTTATTATATTGTAAACAAAAAGATAAATACTCATAAATTTATTTTAAAAAAGAGATTTATTTTTATTTACAATAATTAGAGGTAAAATTGAAATATTATTATACTTTTAAATAGATAATTAACTTTTATTAGTTCATATGATTAGATTAAAAACATCTTATATGTAAGGATGGAGGGAATATTTGACTAGAAAATTATAAATTAGTACCACATAAAAAAATTATTACAGATTAAGTTTCCTAAATTATAAATAAACATCAATAGACAAATACCATTTCTTTGAAAAAAATGGCATTTTGTCTCTTGGTATTTTATTATTTTTAATTTAAGAAACCTAATCTATATTAATTTTCTTATATGGTAGTTATTTGTAACTTTTTGTTTAAATAACGATCAAAGTTAATATTTATTAATGGTAGAAGTGATATTATACTGTTTTTAAATGTTAAAATGAGATGTTATATTAAAAATGAGTTTAAAATTTCAAACTCTCCTAGACTTATAATATAAGGGCAAAATAGTCATTAACCTAAAAATTATAATAATGCTTGCTGTATTATATTTTCAGTTTTTTTTTCAAACTTTTAAGACAAAAAATTAAGGAAACTCACTCTTGCTGTTTGGGGAAGACAACATCAGAGTGTGTGTGTGTGTGGAAGCAAATGAAATCTTGGGGTGATTATGCCGTGGCGTGCGCGTGCATCATGTGTGTATGTGACTGAGAGAGAAACAACAGTAGAAGATTGAGTAAAACTAAAAACATACTGAATATGTTTTCAATATATTATTAGTATTATTATTTTGGCAAGCTTTTTCAATACCTTATTATGATTATTAATTTATAATTTATCATGATTCCTTACAGATGTAATAATACGAGGCATAAGCAAAACCACCTTTTCAAGATAATACCATTATAATTAAATTCACTCACCAATTATAATGATACAGCCTTACCTTATCTGATATCTCATCACTTCAGGGACACGACAAAAAAAAACAGTCACATCATATCAGTCGTCAGATGCATTTCAAAAGAATTATCCCCAAAAGAACAAGAGAAATTAAAAATAAATTATAAATTTTAATTAATTGCTCATGCATTGATGTAATTACCGTATGCAACCAAGACAACGTTTGTTTAGTCGGCACAAGCGTTGCAATATTTGAATTTTAAATTTTACTAATGCCTGGTGTTAATCACAAGGATTAAATATGCAAGTATTTGAAACTTTAAGGGCTAATATGATATGAATTAAAATAAAGGGACTAAATTGAAAATTGGAAGAAACTTTGAATGAATACCAAAAACTTTGGGGTTAACCCAAACAAAATTTATTCTCGGAAATATATAGTAAGTGTAAGGCTATATGTATGCGTATTGTTACACTAATAGTCTCAAGGACAAAATTTTAACAAATTATTTTTACACAATTTTACTTAATTTTCTAACACATAACTTCATAAGGAAATTTGGTGTCATATTTCTATCCAAATGCCCTTAAGATCATGTTTGATAGGATGAACCATTTTTTTAAAAGAAAATATACAGAGGTCGGAAAACCAATCATGATTAAGCCTGTAAATGAACGAACAAAGCTTGTAAAAACGAGCCTGTTTTTTATGTGGGTGAACCCAGTTTTCCCCGTGAAAATGTCGCTGGTATATGACCAAATTATAAGGGTGAAATAGAAAATTACTACTCTCTCTATTAAAAAATATAAAATATTTTTAATCTTTTAAAATATAATAATTATTTTTTTAAAAGTACTCCTATTAATGAATGACTTTACATTTATTGTAAAATATTTAATATGAGTAAATATAAAAAAATAAGATTAGCTTAAAAGTAAGTAACTACTTTATTGGGGGTAAAATTCAATTAAAAATGCCTTATATTTTTAAATGAAAGGAGTAATAAATATTTTATACAAGGAATTAGGGTTTTTTTATAAATAAAATCGAGAGAACCCTTCTTAATGTCTCTTATAATGTTAGGCATAATTAACCATTTAGTATGGTAATTTATCATGGTAAAATAAAATAATAATATTAGGAATGATAAAACTTTAAATTTAATTTCTATTAATTAGGTGCTTTAAATTTGCCTCATTTCTTGATTGGTCCTTATTGTTTAAAGATAATGTAATACTATTAAAAAAATTAAAATTGGTTCATATGGATTACAAGATATTGATGGCAACCATTATAAATTAAAAGAAGTGTAATTATTTATGTTCATTTGAGAGTTAATCTATTCCTATTTAATTTCCTGTACATGTCAAGTTATTAATGTATTTAACATATTAGATTGATTTGAAAATTAATTTGTGTTTTAAATTAAATGACTGACATTATAATTTTAAAAAAAAATGTAAGAATCAATAAAAATTAAATTCAAAAAATTAAATCAATAATTGAGAAAAATTTGAGAGACTAAAAATTGTATTATTCTATAATATTATTTGTTAAATAATTAGAGTGGAAGAATTTGGGAATAATAAAATCTTTAGTTCCTCTAGTTTGTTTTAATTATTAATTTAATCCCTCAAGTTTAATTTTTATCACTTTAATCATTTACATTTTTTAAAATTATCATGTCAGTTTTTTAAGTTTTAAAAATAAATTTTCTCTCGAGTTAATTTAATATATGCAAAGTAGTTTAATGACTTAGCATGGAATATAACTAAATGAAAATAAATTAGACATCAAATCAATTTAATTTTTAATAATTTAGCGTGCTGCGTTTCATTCTTTTCTTTTTTAAATTTATGAGTTTTTTCTACCTAAATACATATATTTTTTTATTATTAATCCACGTAGCTGCTGCGATCAACATTTCGTTATTCATCTCAACAAATTTTATGAGTGTTATTTTTATCTAAACAATGAAGATCAAATTAATAAAAAAAATGATAAAGGGGTCCTAAAAAAATTAATTAATTCAAGTTAGGTCTCGAGTGTCAAATTTAAAAAATTTGCAACTCAATTTCTCAATTTTATAATGACATTGTGATAAATTTATAATTTATTTTTAAATTTTAGCATGGTTAAAAACAATTTTTTTTTCACTGATTTGAAATATAAGTTACAAATTCGTCATAATAAAATTGTAAAGTTGAGAGATTGAGTTATAAATTTTTAAAATTTAACAGTTGAGACCTAAATTAAATTACTTGACCCTTTTATGACCTTTCTGTCATTCTCCTAATTAATAATTGATGCAAACTTAAAAGATTAAATTAATAAAAATTAAAATTAAAAAATTAAATTAATAATTATAATAAATTTAAGAAACTAAAATTTTCATTCTCCAATAATTAAACACTTGAGAGTGTTTGGAGCAGGAGCGTCACACACTTGAACAGGGGGTCGAGTTTCAGCACATTTGGTGGCTAATTAAGTTGGTGGCTTCATTAACTACCTCAACCTAAATGTCGCATAACCTGTTCATCTACCTCTTCAAGCCATCAAGTTCCGTTAAGCAGGCAGGCACGCATCGATCTGATGAAAGCAAAACCATGAAACATGATCGATTAGAAGCAACGAGTTGAAGCCCCAGACCCAATGGAGGACAAGGCTGTGGTTGGACGCAAGACATCGTTCGGTGATGAAGAGAGCGATCTCTTGGACCAGTTCGAGAGGATGTGGTTTGAGGCGCACCTGAACCGAGCCATGCTCACTCGGAGCTTCAGCCTCTCTGTCTCTGAACCTGTTACTACGACGCAGCAGCGGCAGCAACAGGGCAAGCAACGACGTCGTACTGCGCATGGGTTCCGCTGTCTTCTCAAGAAGTTCATCAATCCCATTCTTGGCATCAACTTGAACTTGAAGAGCAATGGGTCCAGACGACAAGTTCATCAGCCTCATAAACGACATCCACTCTCTTGGAAGGTTTTCAGCAGATCTCTTCACTTTTGAACAATGTATTTGTTCGTTTGTTCAATCTTTTGCTTGCAGCGACTGTGTTGAGTTTGCTCAATTTATCTCAAAGAGTTGGATTCCCATCTATTGGAATTTTAGTCAAATCTTTATTTGAACTTTGAACACATCAAAAATTTAAATTCATTTTTTATCATAATTTTTTATAATTTTATCAATAAACTAGAGATTTAAGGGTGTTTGCAATCCAAAATTCATTTGTTTTTATGTAATATTTTTTAATATTTAAAAAGATATAATATCACTTTATAATTAACGAATATTAACTTTGATAATTGTTACTAAAAAAATTATAAAAAAACTTAAAAATTATGAAAAAATATTTAGAAAAATAAAAATAAATACTATATCAAAAATTTATATTTTTTGTCATTTTATGTAATTTTTGACTTCCTTTATTTCTTTTGATTAATTAATAGTATCAGCGATATTATATTATTTTTAACTATCGAGAGAAACATTATATAAAAAAATAATTTACATTTTTAATTATTTTTGAACCTATTGTTTAACAATAAAATTGATTTTTTACCTTTTTAACATTTTTTTATAGGCTAATTATTCAAAAAATTTTAGTTATTCTCCAGGTTTTCGTAGTTAGTTACTCTCCCTTTTATCTTATTTATTATTCTTGCATATACAATAATAACAACAAACTTTACCTCTTCACATGAGATCGAATTATACAACTATTTTTGTCTATAGTCAAATAAAAATAAAAATAAACTTCTCACTTCTTAATTTTTATTTTTATTTTAAATCTTAGCTTGTCTGTTTTTTCACTTCTAAATCTTTTACAGTATTCAAATACAAAGTTTTAGAAGTGAAGTTTAAATATAAAATTTTCAATTTAAATTCAAATCAATGAAGACTTTAGCTATTCATGTCTATCTGTTTTATTTTTAAATAAAAAAAACTCTTCTCACAGTGAATCGTGAAAAAATTGTTTATTGATTCCATGTTACATATTATTTTGATCTTATTTATAAATTATTTTTAATACATTTTATTAGAATTAAGGAAAATATTAAACCTTATTACCTTTATCTTAAAATTTAATAAGTTTACACATTTATCTCTAATAAATATCTTTAAATTTTATTATTGATATTTTTATTTAAAGTATTTAATAAATATAAAAATATTAAGAGAAATATTAAAAATTAATAATTGTTGATAGAATCAATTTAGAGCTAGTCATTCAAGCGGGTTAGACTTATTTGGATTAAGTTCAATTCGAGCTGGCTTATTCAAATTAAATTTAAAATATTTTATTAGTTTAAAAAAATTTATATAATCAAGCTCGATTCTAAATTTTTTAAGTCAAATTCGGGCTATACTGTCGAGTTTGATTAAAATTACCAACTATATATATATAGAGTTGAAATTCCAACTATTGAGTTCAATTTAAGTTAAATTTATTTAAATTAAACTTAAAATATTTTATTTTATTAAAAGTGTTTATATAACCAAAATCAATCTTAATTTTTTTTGGGTTGAGTTCGGACTTGTTCGAATTACCGGTCTAAATTGTTTTCCCCCTTCCTTGCGCTGGAGTATTTATTTTCTTCCAATTTCTTTCTCTTTCTGGTCATGGCTTCTCAGTTTCTTGTTCCTGCTCTATTTTTTCAATCTCGTCTTCAAACTGTTGCATCGCACAGCCCTCTTTTTATGAATCTTAATAGCAGAAGCAACTACGATGGACACAGTATTGCTATCCGAGCAGGTAAGCAATTATCGCTCCATATCAATACATCTAATCCTGCAGAAAACTCACTCAAATATGGTTTGAATCTCGACGAAATTAGCTTCTCGCACACCGAAATGGAGATGAAGGACTTTCGATTTAAAAGTCTGGTAAATAGGATTAGGTTTTTGTCCTCCAACAGTAAGAATGAGAAAATTGATCTGGATGAAGCCGAACGAGTTCTGGGCTCGATGTTGGAAAATGGGTTTCAGCCAGATGCCGAGACACTCACGATTCTCGTAAACTCCTTCTGCAAAAGAGGAAGGATGAAGAAGGCTGTAGAAATTTTCGACCTCATGAACCGAATCGGAACAAAACCTACAATTCAAACTTACAATTGTTTGTTAAAGGGACTCTGCTACGTGGGGAAGGTGGAAGAAGCGTATGAGATGTTGATGAAAATGAAGAAGATGAAGATCCCATTGAAGCCCGATATTTACTCATATACCGCTGTAATGGATGGGTTGTGTAAAGTGGGCAGATCCGATGAAGCTAGGGAATTACTCGATGAAGCTGAGGAATTGATGGGTCTAAAACCAAATGTAATCACTTTCAACACTCTGTTCCAAGGGTATTCTAGAGAAGGGAGGCCATTGGAGGCTATATCTGTTCTGAAACTGATGAAGAAGAAAAATTGTGTTCCTGATTATATAAGCTATGCCACTTTGTTACATGGGCTATTGAAATGGAATCAGATTAGGGATGCTCTGAAGATTTACAAGGAAATGGAGCGATTTGGGTTTGAAGTGGATGCGAGGATGATGGGGACTTTGGTGAGAAGGTTGTGTAGAGAATCACGTAAAGAAAAAGGTATGCTTGAAGATGCATGCCAAGTGTTTGAGAAAATGACGAGAAGAGATTCAATAGTAGTAGACCAGAGGACACATGAAGTAATGATTCAGGCGCTTTGTGCTCGAGGAAGAACAGAAGAAGCAGTGTCAACTTTGCTTTTGATGGATGAAAATGGAAGAATTCCTAGTGGACTATGTTTTGATGCATTGATCAAGGAGCTCAATGCACAGGGAAGATTGCTTGGTCATCCCGATTTGTTTGGTTACGCAATGAAGCGAGGTGGCGTCCAAGTAAACTCCTTTGTGTAAAATCCAATTACTTTATCATTGAATTTCTCGAACAAAATTATATGCACCATAACTTCTCTTGGGGAACAATAGTGTAGGATTTTTACATGATTTTGAAGGTTTTGACTACTCAAAAAAGGTTTTGACTACTAGAAGGTCTAGTGAAGAGTCATAAGTAACTTGAAGCTGACAAAAATATTGGTTCTCAAACGAGAATACATTGTTACGAATCTTATTTTAGAGAGCCTCACAAAATAGATATAGTTTTTAAGCATGAAAAATTATCCAGCCCAACGTGCTAGTTTTTGGGGATGAATATTCTTCCCTTAAACTTACACTCGTAACATATTCTTCAACAAACTTCAATTTTAAGTACCACAAACCATGTAACAGACAAGAAGATTTAGTTTTGCATCAATTACAGACAATCATTGATGTCACAAAGTATATATAGCAAATATTTGAAAATTGAGATACAAGAAGAAAGCAAATCATATTGGAGCTAGTTATCTCTGTAAATCCCATAATAACGCAAAGAAGTAGCAAAGAACTTCTCCAAGTACTCTCTCTCTCACAGATTGATCGAAGCCTTGAAACTCAATCTTCAGTTCATAGTGCCTCCAGCATTTTTGGGGAAGCTGATAGCAGCATTCTTCCACCTTCGAATTTCTCGTCTCTACTTCGTTACCCTATTTAAACTACAATATTTTCAAATATCCTCTTCACTTACTGATATTGAAATCAAACATACACGTGAACATGGAGTTGAGTGGTAAAAGATCGATGAAACATATATACCTTCAAGGTGCTGGTCGTCTTTTTTGGATGGGGAGGACAGTGTTATAGTCCAGGGTTTTAGCGTGAAACAAAGCAAACTTTCCAATAATTTTGTCAAAGTTTGACCACTTGGTAATGTCTCATTTCTCGCTGCTAATAATTTTACACGCCTCGAATCTTTTTTTTTTTTTTTTGGTTTTTGACCGTAAGAAACACGCCTCAAATCATATAGTGGAGATCGCATTTGCTGACTTGGAAAGATCATTTTCTTCAAATTAAACCAAATCAAACAAGTCAATGCTGACATATACCAAGAGGACAGGAAACTTCTGCTAATTTGATAAGTACTTCACGTTAATATATATATATATATATATATATATAAAGTTAGTTAGATTCCTAATCTTTTTTTTTTAAATACTCTTTTCGTTTGGTATTATAAAACATTTTTGATTAAATTACACCTTCAATTAGTTAAGTTATGTTAATTAATTGTCTTTAAAATTATATTTTTTTATATTTATTTTTATTTAATAGGATATTTTAATTACAAAACCCTGTTAATTACACCCTTTATTTAATGGTAGTTTAAAAAAATCTTATTACACCTTGAAAAACCATTTATGCCATATGTTTTTAACATGATGCTAGTAGTTCGAAAAAAAAAAGTCTTATTTGTAATACTAAATGGAAGGAATACATCTTTTTCAATTATATTATTATTAAATGTCATACATAAATGCTTTAATAATGAGTTAATGATAATTAAAATTCCCACAGAAAACTTCTTCAAAAAATAATGGTAAATAAAATTAGGGTATAGAGTATAGTAAAAAAAAAAAAATTACAAGAACAACCAAATGATTTATATTTTAGAAAAAATTAATCTTTTAATCCTTCAACTTTTAAGTCACTTGTAACTTAGTCCCTCAACTATGACTCGCTGTGATTCAGTCCCTCAACTATAACTCGCCTATGACTCAGTCTCTTAACTTTTGAATCACTTACAAATTAGTCCCTTAATCTTTGTTAATTTTTTTTTATATCAGCTTATATCTCACATTAATGAATAAGAAGAGGGAATTTTAAAATAATATATGAGCATTTTTTTATCCCTCTTATTTGATAAAAAAATTTAAAAAAATTAAAAAATAAAGATCGAGTTATAGGTAAATCAAAAGTTGAGGGACTGAGTTGCAGCGAGTTATAGTTGAGGGACTGAGTTACAAATGAGTTAAAAGTTGAAGGACTAAAAGAGTAATTTTTCCTATATTTTAAATAAAACTGACTGTCCGGTTCAACCACTCGTCCGTTAACCATTTTGGCCGTTGCACTGATCATGGTCAGTCTCAAAACCCCAAGAGCCACACAATCTGAGATATCCAATTGTTGGAGTTCATGACCCTCAAACTTGAAACTCTGCTAATTTTTTCCCTCCAGTATCTGAAATGCTTTCAACCCGTTGCAGCATTCTACTTCAACTTGCTTCAGTGATAAAGAGGAAGAAACATTTATGGTTTGAGACCCATCACAGTGCTTTAATAGTAGTTCTTTCAATGATGGGCATTTTATATAAGCATCATCAACAAATGAAATCTTTATCCCATTAAGCTTGAGTATAGTCAAGGATTGTGAAGAAAATAGAAGAAGAAGTAAGTCATTATTCACATTATACCCAGCAACAATGTCATTCTTGCCTTCCGATTCTGAATTTCTGTCCTCTAAATCCCTGAGGATCGGGACTATGATGTCCAAGTCTATCTCTTTGACATTGTTTTCTACGACGAAGTTTAGCAACACATCAGAGAATTTTCGATAAGAGCGAGAATCGGGTAGTCTTTCTTTTATTTTCGGCTGACGAAAACTAGGACGGAAGAGTCTGAATCTGTCCATGTAAGATAAGCTTAGGTTGTGGAATAACCATTTAAATAAAGGCCACGAGATTGGAGGGTTTCTTGAACAGAATTGAAGAATGTGTGATGTGAAACAATGTTTGATGATAAGGTGAATTTGTAAGTGAAGTTCAGAGTTGGAAATGAAAGCCAAGAAGAATAAACTGCTTCCTCATAATAAGGAAGCAAATGCATGATATGGTGGATGAGATTCTCAGGCAGGTCTTCCAGCTTCATATTATTGTTTATAGTGTTATCAGCAGCTCTGCAATTTTCTTCAGGTCGTTTCATCTCCTTAATTAGTTCCCATTATACATATATAGTCTCAATCCCTAGCAGTCATATCAGATAAGAAATATTAGAGTCCTTATTTATAGGTGTGCTAGGTTAACAAAGCTCAAATGCGCACACGGGAGATAGAATCACCTTTTAATTTGGACTCGGTCCTGGTTTCACCACTGATGACACCCACTAGAAGAGAGGGACTTGGTTTCTCTCCACCACACCTCCACTACAAATATATATGGATTATTCAGATTAAATTTTAACAATACAAATTAATATGTTCTTTTAAAAATTATCAAATAAATCATCATCCACAGTGTTCTCTACTGCAGTAGACAGTAGTGAAGAGAAGCCAACTACAGAAGGGATAAAAAATATGAGAACAGTCCCCGTATTCAAAATAAATGGGCATATTGCAGCGAGTAACCCTACTATTAAAAACATGCAGTATATATGTTAAAAAAAGTGCAGTATATATATACATGCATATAATTCATGTCTAACAGCGCAAAAGACATATACAGGAATGCTCTAAATTACCAATTATAAGGGAAAGTGTAAACCATTTGTAACATCCAGAATTTTGAAACTAAATAAAATAATAAGAATAAACTTAAATTAAATAGGCTGCTAATTATCTAAAGAAAGGGCTAGAGCAAGAAGCACTACTATAGAAAATACCCATACTTGATGCTTTTTTTTCACAATACTTGATGTTTTTTAATTGTCAAGTAAAGGTGCGACATGTATTAAAGGAACCTTACTTGACGGTTAAAAACTGTCAAGTATTTAGCTAATATTTGATGGTTATTTGAAAAAAATTATTAAATATATGAACTAAATATATACTTCTTTGAACAAATACTTGATACTTGTATCCTTATAACCATCAAGTATTTTCAAATACTTGATGCTTGTTTGGAAACAAGCGTCAAGTATATTGACACTTGACGGTTATTTTGAAATAATCGTCAAGTATTTATGGCATTTTTTTCAATAAGGCGGTTGCTTTTAAAGTAGCCCCACTGCATAAAGATATAGATATATCTAGATAAAAAATAGCCAGCCTGTAACAAAAATAATACAATATAATGAATGTTTCTAATAGTATTTGCTATTTAATTAACATTAAAATTTCTATACATTTAGCTTTAAAATCTAAAAAATTTATATTCAACTTATTTGCAAACTAAAGTTTCAAAACTAAGTGACCTATCCTATAAAAATTGGGCCAAAAGATGTGTGTATATACATAATTAACTATTGTACCAACCTAACTACTGTTGCTACCCACATATTGAAAACATATGTGCAACCATATAACCAATGTAGTAGATATCCTAAAAGTATTGTAAGTAAATAGTCACAACAATTTCAAGTTAATAGGTAGCTAATTAAAATTACTTAAAATTTATAATTGAAGTATAATTAAATTTAATATATATATCTTGTCAGATAATATGGTAAGGGCATGAGTGATAATGTCCTTTATGAACTTTATCAAGCAATAACCATATTCATTGCTCTGATTTGGCTGGAGTGGACACTGTAAAAAAAAAACATGTCAATGAAATTGTAAAATATAATATGAGACAGTTTCTTAATTAAAAACTTAACCAATTAAATGAATACCTTAACAGTGACCCATTTCTCTTATGATTCAAATGCCTTCATCTTAGGGGACACAGTCTTGCCGTTCGCAGTGCGATATAATGCCATAGCTCTAAGAAGGAATTATGGAATAAATGTGAGAAATATATATGAATGGAAACTAAAAATAAAAAGAAATAACAAGTGAAAAAATCTAACTTATTCGTTAAAAAATACCATCATATCTTCCCTGTTGCTTGGCTCTCCATTAAGGGGATCAAGATGCCATATTTTTGGAGCAATGGGATTAACTACAATAAGCATCCAGTGTCCCCTAACAAGAAATAGCACGTGTTACCAAACAAGTAAATAAAATACCATGATAAGCTTTTCGCAACTTTTACACTACTATACATGCGTCTAAATTTAAGCACAATTGAAAAATACCATAATGCCTTCATGGGACTTGTAACACTC